CCATTTATCTTTTTTTCCCCTTCAAGCTTAACTATGGGACAACTTTATGAGAAGGAGAAGGATGAGGATGGATTCCTGTATGTGGCCTACAGTGGAGAGAACACATTTGGTTTCTGAATGGTGGGTCCTGGCTAGTATACCATCCTGCTGTGTATCTTGTAAATAGCTGATCATTTTCTGTTGACAACCACCGAAGTTCCTTCTATATACATACATTTGTAACTGGATTTATTTCTTAATATATTGATAGCTTTTGTTTTATTAGACTGTTAAATTATACCAAAAAAAGTTTTGTTGGTTTTGTTCTTTTTTTTTTTCCTCATGGCTAAAAATTCCAGACCCTCACTCCTTTGGGGGCTACATTTGATGACATTGATTAAGTAATAAAGCAAAGTAGTTAGGTTAATAAAACATGGAAAGAACACACATTTATTCTGTTTTGAGGTGTTAGTTTAAGAAAAATAAAAACATAAAATTAGTCTTGGGAACACTGGATTTGCTAGCTTATCCTAAGAAGAAGCAAGATGCTGATTATGTGGAATTGAGCTAATATGTTCCTCTTTCTCAATTAACGAACAAGTACAATAAAAATTCCTGTCACAAACAGGCAGTGCTCTCATTTCTTTACCTTAATTTTGGCCAGAAAATTCACTAAACACTATCCTGCTGCTTATATTATTCCCTAGACACTGTACAGCCTCTCAGCTTTTAGTACATGGATGATGATGCAAGGAGGAAACAAGGTGCTACCTGTAGGTTCTGAAATCAACAGCTTCAGAGATACTTCTCATCAGATGAGCTGTGCCTGCCCACAGGCTAGCAACTAATACCAGGGGCTTTGGAAAGCAGGACCTAGGTGACAAAAGCATTGCTTGTAAGGAAAGGGCACCTAGGAGAAGGAATGATACAAATGAGACCAGAGAGCTGGAGAACTGAAAGGTTTAATCTGTACATGAGTTACTGCAGAGAGAGAAGTAACTGGTAAGAAGTTTAGTTTAAACAGCTGGATCTGCTCTTATCAAAAATACAAACAAAAAAAAGCCCCAACCACCCAGTAGTTCTGCTACAGGTAGTTCTATAAATAGAGTTCTATAAAAAGACATGAAGGTTAGAACTGAACCCCCCTGGTTTCTAAACTGCTGCAATAGAGGAGCCAGGTGCGGCTGGATCCAGTCCTGTACCTGTCACAACTCAGACTGGGCAGCCCAGAGAGATGAGGACTGAACCCCCTTGCTTTCTAGACTTCCTTCAGAGAGGAGCCGGGTGTGGCTGGTCCCAAAATCCTTTTCTCAGACCTGGTCTCTTCCCAGAGAGTAAATGTGTTACAGTCCGAGTAACAGCTCGACGGTCCAATCCCCCTTGATCAGGTTAAGGTGCAGCGACACATGAGGTCTGTTTGTAACAAATAACACATTTATTACACTAGTAGGAGATAATATTGAACAACCTAAACAAAACCACCCACATATATATATTCAGTAAGGAAAAGGGGATGAGAAGAAAAAGGTGAGAGGAAGGTGGGGAGAGAGATAAAGAGAGAAAGATGACGAGGACAGGAAAATCACCAGCCCTGGATCCAGTGTCGTTGGTCCAGCCAAGGGGGAGGGTCGGTGTCCACGGTCAGTGTAGGTGAAACTCCCCCAGCCCACCATGGCAGCCCCCTATTCTACAGGCCTAGAAACTGGATTTCACAACTAGTACCTGTGATTGAGCTATATATGTGTGAGCAGCTGGAGTGGACCTGCCCGCTCTGGCATCTCAGTCCTGGTCGTTATCTCGTCTCTGCAGGCCCTTCCTGCAGCCTCGTCCTCCTGGGCAGCCCTTGGGGATGCACGTGAGCAGGGGCTACAATGGGGCTTTGATACCATTTCCCACAGTAGGTCTGGAGGGCTGGTCCCTCACACAAGAGAGTAAAAAATGTTACTTAGAACTGCTAGATCAAGCTAGTTACATGCTAGCACATATATATATGAACAAAACAAGGGAAGATGAAGCTTTATGCCCAGTGTCATGATTGCTGTGACATTTGGAATACCCTCCCGAAGCCTCAAAGAAAACTATGTAACTATTCTCTTTAACATCTCTGTAATTTTAGGAGCCCTAGTAATTCTAGAGAATGCAAGGATAAATCTTCTACAGCAGTAACTTTACTTTTCATCTGCAGATGCACTTAAAAGGGAAGTAAAATATCAAGAGATTTCCTTATGAAATGCCTTGGCAATCTTGGTGCCTTCATATGCTCTGCTGCTCCCTTTACCAACTGCTTGGTTGTCCCTATTAACCATAAACTGGGGGCACTTCATTCCCCCTACCTCAGCCCCCCAGCCTCAACTCTGCTCCCCTGTGGCAGCCTCTTCATGCTGCTGCCCCCCGGCCTTGCCAACCTCCCTATCTCAGTGTGTCAGCTGTTCCAGAGCAAAGGCACAATGGAATGGAAGCCTGGAACACACCAACTGCTACCTTCCAAGAGGAATTTTTCCAAAGAACTGCCGACAATGATGAAAATTTAGTTTGCTACCTCTTCCAAAAGCAGAGATTGTGTTATCAGTTCTCTGCATTTTTCCCTTCTGATTTTTAGAGTGGTTTCTCAGTACTGCCTACAGCATTTACTGGCATTTTGGAATTAAACAGTTGTGGCATTTAGACACTTATTTTCAATCCCAGTCGAGTTTGAGATCCTGCAGGCCTAGCCCCTCACCCTTTTAAATGCTACTTCGTTTTAGCTCCTTCCCTCTCTTAGCATATTAATTGACTCATTCTAGGCTTAAATATGTCCTCCAACCAAAAGTGAGGTTAGCACCAGTGGTCAGCACCTCTAAAACTACTTATAAGGCTGACAAGTAGAAGAAAGCAGTAGTCTACAGTTCAAAACTTACAAATGGACAGGAAAATCTTACTATGAACAATCTCTCACAGCCAGACTCAAATTTTAGGAAAGAGTTAAAAGAATTTACATTGTGTAACTGCTCATTTGAAAAAGTCTGATGCCAAGACTACAGAACTAGCCTTATGTAACCCATTTTAATATTGCAGCTGGATAGGAAATAGGAACATTCCAGTTTGGTCAGCAGGTTCACTACAGACCTTGTTGATTAAAAAAGGGAAACTAGATATGTTAAGGTACAATTTCTGCAAGATTTCAGG